AAATTAAGCGTAAATAAAATTAAGCGCAAAATGACTTAAGAGAAGCGTCCATTTACGTAAGTCTCTATTACACTCAACGAGCTTCAGGAAACGTAATCTACTGCACAGCCATGCGCGAGTTTTGACTACGCTATAGCCAAGCACGTGGGCTTGACGCAAAAGCCTTTAAAATTTTGCTTTTAAATCTAAAATTTGGTTATTTTCAAAGGCAATGGTTGTCTCTTTAGCAACCTGTCTGTTGGGTGTTGCGCATCTTCCCCTCCCCTCTCAAGTTTAATACATATGTAGTAAGATTAATAGGGGGTAGCTGCCGTGCTGCGTCTCTAGGGGAGGAGGGGGGTATTACAAGATAATAATATAGAGGCCAGTGAATAAGTTTCTAGTAATCGGATCCATATGTTTTCACAAAGGAAGCGGGCGTGAAGGTTCGAGAAGAATGTTTCGACGCCCACAAGAATCTATTTTGGCGAGAGATCGTCGTTTTTTGCCGCTGCTTTTTCAGAAATATATTTAGACAATATTGATACGAGGGAAGAGTAATTTTTGATTGAATTTCTGATGAAATATGTAATGAAGTCCAGCTTCGACATCAACATAATGGATTAATGCAGATCTAAAATCTTAATCCCCTGACGGCTTTTTTGTTTTATCAGCACATTCCAATATAGTCAACTCGTAGAGAACCGAGAGGCGCGAACTGTGATTAACTTAGCCATTCCGATATTGGGAGGCGAAGCACGCTTCCCGCTGATACATAAGTTTCCGATTCACGCTCGCCTTTCTGTAAAATTCGTGTCACAAATCAATTAACCCTTTACACCCTAACATCAGTGTGCATTTTCTCAATACCGTTCTCCAAACATTTCCTAAGGTGCTGATAAGGAGAATTTGTCTAACAATCAAGAGCTTCTTTAGTTGGTAATAACTTCCTTTATTCTTGTGACCTTAGTGTTTGATTCAGGGGTGATGTGATAAGGAGAAATTTGTTGCCAGTCACTCAGGACCACTATGTTACCCTACTGAAATTCTCTTGTGGTACACTTGAATTCCAACTTCAGATATGACAAATATATTTCCTCCTCAGAAGGAGAGAAGGAAAATTACTTTTCTTTCGTTATGAGGGGGTAATTCAGAGGGTGGTAGGTAAAGTAAAGTATAAAAATCGCGCGAAACATACCTTAATTGATAAGCAGTAAATACTAATTGTTTGCTTCCCTTTTCCTTTCAAGAAAGTTAACAAAGTCACAGTGTGATCGCTCCTCTCGTTCCCTCGAATGAGTTTGAACTGCGCGAATGTTTCTAAAATTGTCTGTTAAAGGGGTAAGCCGGGATGATGTTATTTTACGGAGGTGTGTAAATATTGCCAAATAGTAAAGTAAAGCATAAAAATTGCGCGAAACATACCTTAATTGATAAGCAGTAAATACTAATTGCTTGCTTCCCTTTTCCTTTCAAGAAAGTTAACAAAGTCACTGTGTTATCGCCCCTCTCGTTCCCTCGTATGAGTATGAACTGCGCGAATGTTTCTTAAATTGTCTGTTAAAGGGGTAAGCCGGGGTGATGTTATTTTACGGAGCTGTGAAAATATTGCCAAATAGTGAAAGGTGACGTGACCTCCGCATGCTGTTATTTCACGGAGATGTGGAAATTCGCCAAAATGTCAGGTCATAACAACGAATCGATGAGTTAGTCCAAGTTGGCTTTGGCTCTTGAACTAATTTGACTTCAAGATCGGTTTACCAGAGTTCCCGAGTTACGTTATCGAGGCACACTACGAGTTAATTATTCATTTCAGGAAAGACTTAAAATCGATAGGATTAGAGTCAGTCGTCAAGAGTTACCCAGAGTGAAGTGAATTATTTGTAAGTTGGATTGTGATTAGGAACAGAGATTAAAGAAGAGTCAAAAGAACATGTCGAAAGTCCTTGGAGCTTTTCGCCAAACGTGGTGCAACGATAGTAATAGTTAGCAAGTAACTTGTCACGACTCGTATGTATGCATTAGCCTGCTGCAACTCGATATCTTTGCTTTCCGTAAAACCTCTTATTTCAGTCTTTCGTGACACTCCAGAATTGGAATGTTCTTTTCCTTTTAGTGTCCAAAGTCTAAGTGTTATCTTTGTCTTCTGTAAAACCGCTTATTTCAGTCTTTCTTAAGACTCCAGCCGACAGTTCTTTTCAAGTTAGTGTCCAAAGTCTAAGTTTAAGCATCCCTAAGTGAAACACAGGCGGCTCAAGCTCCAGCTGTGAGATGATCATCTTGCGCAATAACAGTCATGGCGGAATTATAAGAGTTTGTATGGGAATATTTACGACCGCTCTAAGGAATAAAAAAATACGTCAAATTCTCAACAACAAAAAAACCTCACCTTACTTATTCAGCGTATTGCTTGTTATCTGACCGCTTACTTTGATGAAAAGAACGCATTTTAGCGAGTTGTCCATTTCGAGGTTTTCAACGTACATAAGAAAAGCCCAAGGCTGAACACTCCATTTCCGAACGCCCGATCTGAGAAGCGAAAAATTCCAGCGCAAAATGACCGGGCGGCCACAAATCCAACGCAGAATCCAAGCACATATACTGTAGTTTCATTTCAATTCACTACAAACTCAATCTTCCCCGTGCCATCGCCTCGACGGGGACCCCACTGGAACTGGGCATGAAGAAATTATCTTAGCACCACGGGTGCCAAGTTACAGTGGAGTCCCCGGCGAGGCTAAGTTTAAAAAGGAGGCAAGGTTACCTGGCCGGTTTTCAACGGTCGTGTGTCAAGGTTGATGTGGTAATGAAACTACAGTATATGTGCTTAGATTCTGCGTTGGATTTGTGGAAGGTTGGTGCAATAGCCGCTAACAATGGCTTATAAATATAGGCGTTTAGTGTTAACTTGTAAAACTCCCTGAAGAAGTTACGACAGTTGGACGAAACACGCCAGAGGAAAAGAAAGTTTTACCGACACTACTGTTCGCACAGCGCTGCTCACCAGTTTAGTTTTAAATTTTAAAAAATTTATTGTTTAAAAATTATTAAAAAATTATTGAAAAAAATTATTAAAAAATTATTTTAAAAAAATTAATAAACGTTTGAGTCGGAGCTATTCCTGTCAGCGGTGAAATACAGGAATGGCTCCGGTCTCTGATCGTCCGCCTGAACTGACTAAATGAGTTTTGTCAGCGGAGCTTGTTGGCCGACAGCTTTCTCATCGCCGGAATATCGCTGAACGACCTCGCTGAACGAGAAAGGCTGCCTTCCCTTCGCTACGTAAGTAAGCATTTCTTGTTGGACAGATCGGTGTTTTCATTCGCATGGATATTTCATTGTTCCGCTTCGAGACACGCGGTTAACAATACTCACGAGCAAATAGTTAAGATATAACTTATTAACTTTTACTATTTTTATCACTCAATTACAGGTCGGAGCCATTCCTGTATTTAGTCGTTAGTAACTCTTATAATTCCGCCATGACTGTTATTGCGCAAGATGATCATCTCTATGGGCGGCCGTCACCGCCTGTCAGTGAAACTGCTATTGTCTCACAGACCAAAGTTAAAAAAAATCGACTGAAATGAAATAGTTTGAACGAATGAAGAAACACTTTCCAAACAACACGAGAATGTAGACAATACACGTACAGCGTATGCATTAATTCTCGGTTGTATGCTCAATAAACAAAATCGTTCAATTAAATATCAATTCTGTTTAAAATCTTCTCTCTATTAATATGTAATGTTCCTGAGCCGAATGGCAGAATTTAATTACTGCTGGGACTAAACTTGATTGATCAAAAAGCGCTAGATCGATCATGAAAATCAATTCAAAACCTTCCCAGGCCAACTTTGGTCGAATTTTTTTCCTCAACAAAATTAAAGTTGATTTTTTCAACTTACATTTCAGAAAATAAAAATACGGAAATGTGTCAACTTTTCTGAGAAAAAAGAGAAGAAAGACCACAGAAATGCGAAACTGCAACCGAAAATAGAAACTTTTTCATCAAACGAGTCCGGTCGCACTGGGGAGAGGTAACTTCAGTGTTTGAAAAAATTGAGAACTGATGTAGACCAGAAAGTGGACTGCATGTTTATCACTCGGAACAAAGTATACGCGATCCGCGGTGAGGTCGTGTTGAGGTTCACTGCAGGTAGTTTCCATAATTTGCAAAGAAACATTAAATTGTGAGAGATACTAAAACTGACGACCACATATATAGAAAGCAAGAAGATCTAGCTAAATTACCTCGTATTTTCAAATAAATCGTGTTTCAAATCAACAAAGTTTCACAGTCGTTGATAGTTACAGCAATGATTTCTTTTGTTCAACTCGATGTTTCCAACATATGCCTGCCCTAACACAGGTGGCCCAAGCTCCAGCTGTGAGATGATCATCTTGCAAAATAAGAGTCATGGCGAAATGAATGAGTTTCCAATAATCGGATCCCTCTGCTATGCGCAAAGGGTTCTGGGATCGCCACGGGGCAAACAACGCAAATTGCTACAAAGGAATATATGACGAAAAGCTGCAGGTGTCCAATCACTTTAATGTAATGTAAACAAATCATTTTAATCTCCTTCTGCCAAGAGGTAGCTATTGTTCCTCCTCAGCCTGAGAATGCAGAATCCTCTGTTTCAATAGATTTAGAAAACAGTGGTAATTCATATGCCAAAGCTTTGAAACAAACATCACAGACTCATCCTTCCTTCTAATCACCTTCAATTGAAGCTACAGAATTCAAGCAACTTGGTCAAGATCTAGCTTCTTGAAATACAAAAACATTGTCTTGGTACTCTAAAACAACTGTGAAAAAGCCAACTCAATCTCCAGAAGCTACCAGTGCCAAATAAACCTTTTCTGTGAAAAAGCTACATCCAGCTACACGTATTAAAACTTCTGCTCTCCATCATCTTATTCTACCATGACCAATTCTGCCCAGGGTGTTTAAGTCTCCACTTACTGCAAACCTGAACTTATTCAGCTAGCTAAAGCAACTGGTTTTGTGGACCTTCCTACTGACCCTGACTTTGAAAGCACATTATGTTATAATAATCCCGTAAGGTCCAGTTCGTTTCAGTTTCAAACCGGACTTTAAAATTGCTGCACGCCGTTTTCCCTGCTGTAGTAGATAAGAAAAATATACCAGTGGTATGTCATAAAAGCCAATAACTGTGTTAAAATATTAGTTTTCTTAATTTCCCTAAACGGTTTCGATATCTTTAAACACCAATAGTGGAACGATTGGCGCAAACAAACTTTTGACGAATATTCCTTTGGATATGATGTAAAACTAGACCCTGTGAGCAGGGTAACTGGGATACCTGGATGGTACTGGATCCTTGGAATCAAGTGTAGTGATACTGCGGGTGTCGGACTAGTTTACTGAAATAGTGCGCTCAAGTCTGGCCAAGGGCATACACCTATTTCAAGACATAGGCATGCTATGCATGCAAGAGTTACTTTTTTGTAGGGTGGGTGGATTACTTGAAACATTGTGAGTGATGTCTGCATTCTTAAAAAAGGAGAGAAGAATATTAATGTGGGAAAGAACAAATATGTCGAATTACCTCACTCACAGGTATTTTGTGGTAGATTATGTGTGTTTTGCGAATAAATGTAACCAAAAAATAAACTGTATTGGTGCCACGGATACCTGTTAGTACAAAATGTAGACAGCAGTTTTATAACCACTTGCAATGTTGTCACAATTTACTGATGGAACTCCGAGCCCAACATTTATCGACCGGATACAAAATATAGACTGCAGACTGCAGAGTGGGTACAAAATGCAGACTAAGAATCTGAATAGTTTTTACGTCTGGTTTATAATAACATGTCATCTTACAGCTTACCGAGTGTCACGCAATCGCTTTTCTGCGATCCGCCTTCACGATTATTTGGACTATTGTGGAATATTCCTGGCCTATTTCTTGATGAAAATCGATCGCAATATAATTTCAAGCCTTCAATATAGTCTTCTTACTTTGCGCGCGAGTTGGTTGGTGTGATGTCTGTACAGATTTTACCAACGTAATAAAAGTAGATGACGTAATAACAGTGATGATAAAGCAAGCTTAAAACGGCAGAAATCGCCAGAAAATACAACGGATGCACAGGGTATGAGTAAGTTCTATTGATTTTACGAGAAAAATGTTCATATTTCGAAATATGTGTCGTTGTAAATCGACCATACTTCGTTCCTTATACTATTCCTTATAACGTGCAGTTCCTCTCGTAACTTAACACCGAGTCACACAACGCGTGACGCGTTCATGAATTAATCGTTGGCTTTTTCTCGAGACGTGAGCTTGGGCCGCCTGTGACAAGACAATTGCGTAAACAGTATTTAACATAATAACATTATACACAAATAAACACAGGGTTTTGGATCACGTATTTATTCAAAAAGAATATCCATACAACTACAATAAAAACAAACATAAGATTCACCTTTCTGATCGTGAAATTAATACCATTCGTACTGTTATCGTAGCTACGTTCCTCGCCATCAAGTGAATCCAACATGTCGTCTTTCTTCACAAGCAGTTTGCATCCATTATAGTTATGTTCTTCAGTCTCACGGTAGTAGTGTTGTTCAATAGATTGCATAGAGTATATGCAGTTTGGTTTCAGATTTCAGATTTTGCTTTTTACAACAAGTGAACGTTTTTCAACTAAGACATTGGCATACGTAGCATACAAGGCATTCAAGGCTTTCATGGCTTTCAAGCGTTTGCGACTCAATCCGTTCCAAAATTACTGCTCAAAAACATCTTTCAGTGTGGATTAGCCGCGATTAATACGACTTGTATATGCGTCTGTAAGTATTTTGCGCGTTTGCGCCATAATGCTCCAGGAGATCGCAATCCAAATACGTTGAAATACAAAACATTTGACCAAAGAGTTTTATAAGCAAAATCTCATGATTCGTCATGTGACCCGGCCCTGTCTGTGCATGACAACGTCAATCATCATCAAGATAACACGCGTGACCAGCATGTGAACACGTCATTGGATCACAATTAGTTGTCATGGCCTGCATGGTGTTGAGGGATAACACGCGTGATCAGCATGTGAACACCTCATTGGATCACAATTAGTTGTCATGGTGTTGAGGGATAACACCCGTGATCAGCATGTGAACACCTCATTAGATCCCAGTTAGTTGTCATGGTGTTGAGGGCCCAATGACCTCTGGGTACTATTGCGCAATTTTTCCATTTCGTGGCGGAGGAAAAAAAACTAGACCCTGTGTGCAGGGTAACTGGGATACCTGGATGGTACTAGCATCAAGTGAATCCAACATGGCGTCTTTCTTCACTAGCAGTTTGCATCCATTTGAATTTTGTTCTTCAGTCTCACGGTAGTAGTGTTGTTCAATAGATTGCATAGAGTATATGCATTTGATTTCAGATTTCAGATTTTGCTTTTTACAACGAGTTTACGTTTTCAACTAAGACATTGGCATACTTGGCATACAAGACATACAAGGCATTCAATGCTTTCATGGCTTTCAAGCGTTCGCGATTCTGTCCGATCCAAAATTACCGCTCAATAACATCTTTTTGTGTGGATTGGCCGCGAACAATACGACTTGTGTATGCGTCTATAAGTATTTTGAGCGTCTGCCCCATAATGCTCCAGATGATCGTAATCCAATTACGTTGAAATACAAAATGACTGACAAAATAGTTTTATGGGCAAAAATCTCGTGTTCGTCATGTGACCCGGCCCTGTCCGTGCATGACAACGTCAATCATCATCAAGATAGCACGCGTGATCAGCATGTGAACACCTCATTGGATCACAGTTAGTTGTCATGGTGTTGAGGGCCCAATGACCTACGGGTACTATTGCGCAATTTTTCCATTTTGTGGCGGAGGAAAAAAAAAAAAAAAAAAAAAAAAAAAGACGACAAAAAAACAAAGGCATTTTATGACTGGGCTACCACAGGTATCCCAGTAAAAAAAAAACCGAATTATATCTGAAGATCTAGGCATCAAAGGCCGAATTATTTCTGAAGATCTAGGCATCAAAGGCTAACATAACAACACTGCAACCTCTTAGAGACATCCTTAATTTTATTACAACTCGCTTATACTGAAGGAAAAAATAAACAATAGTCTGTCAACGGATATTTCAATCAATAAGAAAAGCTTCTCACTTGGGCAGGCAATGCATCCTCGGGCAACAAAGCTCAGAATTGCTTTAGAGCTGTTGTTAAACATGTAACAGCCAGTAGCCGAGAAACAGCTGTCAGTTGTCGGGTTCGTACAATTATCTGCCTCTTGAGCCAGACAATCACCAAAAGCACTACGGAAACACGCTTTACACTGTGTTGTGTTAACTACAGTCTAGGAAATAAAATATTGAGCGGCGTTAAAACTCAGACCTACTTCTTTGTAAGTATAAACCGAACATTAGCGTTTCAAAGCATGAATAGGGGTAAGATTCTACAGAAACTGTGGTGTTGCGTCGGTTGGAGAGTCTAACAGGGTTGTTAAGTATTATCTACGAGTTGAAAACGCAAATTGGCCACCGTGAAGAGTTTCAAAGCTGACGTTCTGAGCGTTCTGACGACGGGCCACCATTATTTGTTTTTAAATCAGAACTTGACTCGCTCCAACTGAGGAAAGATCGTGTCTGATGGCAGTGACAGTGAATTGTTTTTAGAGGAATCAGGCAAATATGATTTGCAGCAAAGGCGAAACTCTTTGATCCGCGCGAATGCTAATAAACAACACAGTTATATGGTTATCAGTAAAGCCCAGTATATATCAGATTGTCTCACTGTCAATTTGCAACTAAGAATTGTTGGAGGTTTCTTTGATTTTGCTCGAAAAGACGATACCATTTTTAGCCTCAAAGTATCGTTTTAAAATTCCGCTTTAAATAGTTTCTCGAGAACGAAAACTCCGCTGAAAACTTTTTTCAAAAGCAAAGTTTCCTCTGTCATTTTTTACTAACCATATCCGACCCAAACTCCTGAGAAGAAGTAAACAAGAGTCGCTAAAAGCTTTATTTTGTCTTCGTTGTGCTTGTAAGTAATAAAGAGTCTTTAGAGTCGTGCACCAGAAGGTGAAGTTTCTCCAAATTAAAGATTCCTTACAAAGTGTCGGCGGACAAATTTTAAGTATTATGACAATTATGCTGTATGATGCACCTGGTTTCTAACTTTAAATGAAAACTCCTATATATGATGGCTGCTTGAAACTAAAACCACTCAGTATCAGTTAAAGCACAAAGAAAATGTATGACCTACGGGCAACTAGGTGGTTAAGGTTTATGATTAGGATCTTTTTAATAATAAACGAAAAACAAAAATTGTTTTTTACTTTTATTTCTCCGAACACAACAAGGGATAAAACTTACTCATTCAACTTGTAATTTCCACTACATCATATCTGGATCAGCAATGAAGTTCCTACCCTGTACACAATTTCTTAAGGATGAATCTTTAATGTCGGTCCGATTAAAGTAGCCCTCTATCTTGCGAGTATCTCAAAATATGACTTAACTGGTAATAGTTCTCGCTAAAACTACCCCTAGCCTTTGAAATATATGCAAAATTTATTGAATTTACTGGAGATGTAAACTGCCTTATATTCTTCCAGAAAGGAAACGAAAAACACTGTACGAAAATGAAACTAAACTGATGAGCAGCACTGCACGAATTATGATAGTAAAAACTTTTTGTATTTAATTTTCCTATGCGTTTTGTCGTTTAGCCTACAGTCAAATCTATGTTAAGCGGCGCCGTATTTAGCGGTCACCCTGTATTTAGCGGTCGGTTGTCAAGTTTAATAAGAAGAGCCCTTATGTATGTGGAAAACCTCGAAATAGATAACTCGCTAAAATGGGTTCCCTTCGATGTAGTAAGCTGTCAGATAACAAGCAATGCATTTTGGAAGTAAGGTGAGGTATTTTTTGTGAGAATTTGACTGATTTTTATATTCCTTAGAGCGGTCGGAAATATTCCCATACAAACTCTGAAAATTTCGCCATGACTCTTATTTCGCAAGATGATCAACTCACAATTGGAGCTTGGGCGGCCTTTGGTTAAACCTGATTAATTGAAAGTTCTAACTGACTATTTGTGTGTTTAGAGCGCATGATTAAATGCTCTAATTGGATTTCAAAGGGCTTATATAAATGTTTGAATCACAAGTTGAAAGTTTACAGTTAATATTGCAAAGTACAATTAATGAGTGTATTTTTGAATAAAAATTGATCAATTTAACTTTGGCGGTGATGGAAGGCCATAGCATTCTTAGTGGTTTCTTTAAAAGCAGCACACGTGCGACGATTTTTCCGGAAGGGACCCTATGTTGTTGACAGTAACCTTAAGATAAAGGATATGTTCAATAATGTATGCGAACTTGATTACAACTGAGATGGCGAGTAGCCGCCCTCACATAAAAACATACTGATATAATTTCATGTTAATTTTCCTTTAAGAACCCCGTGCAGAAATAAGTTGTCGAGGTTAAATCACCACAAACTGAACGTGACAATCATTTTAAAACCCCAAAGATGAGAGCTTTATTGTTATTGTATTCCTAGATAAAAGATTGAATACTGTTATTGTGTTGAAGCTGCACTTGAAGACAAGATCAGATACAAATATGACCAAAGAATGGCCTAAAAAATTCCTACGTTAGTCTCGTTATAGGATAAATTCTTTGAAAACCGGGAGGGGAGTTGTTTATTGCCAAATAAGTAAAAAAACTCTCTTCAAAAAAAGCCCAACACCGAAACATCTAGTAGCGAGGAACACATATAACAAAATACTACAAAGTAGCATCACTTACTCAGGCAATTCCATACACACTACACGAAGGAACGGGTCGTTACAGCCCGGCTGAATGAGCGGGAACTCTCCATAGATAATTTGATACCTATCTCATCATCTCATCATGTACCGAGCTAGGCTTCTTTCCCAACCAATAAAGATCCCAACACCAAAACCTATATCTAAAAGGTAAAACATCGGGAGGAAACTGACTGAAGCTACCCTTAAACAAGACACCGAAATGGAACTAAAAGTCACTTCTGAAAAAAATCTACTTATACGCTAGTTGGCTCAGTCAGATCCTTCTTCTTCCACTGTGAGGAAGCCTAATTGTATTTTGGCATGATGCGCTTTCCATGTGCATCACGGGTAAAGACTGGGCAGGTATCTGGAGGGAATGGCGAAGGTCCAGCCTCCTTGGAGATCTCATGAACCCTCTTTATCAACTTCTCGAATGCAGCCCGACCCTTTGGAGTGGTAGTCTTATCTCGCATTTCGGCCAGTTTGCCCGCGTACTCACCCATGGTTGTCAGTTTCTTGAAGGGACATCCGTCTTTGAAACCAGGGCAGTTTTCGGCGATTCCTTTCATTTCATCAACAAGACCTGTATATGGGCACACACCTTTACCAAAAACTGGACACTTCTTGATGATCTCTTCAACCGTCAAAGAATAGGAACACTGCAGGTTAAAAGGGAAAATAAAGTTGAACTAAAAGCAAGAATATTGACTAGGAGTCGGTACATAACAGCTCAAGTAAATCAACTGGGCACTTCTTGACGAGCTCTTCAACCGTCAAAGAATATGGACACTGCAGGTTCAAGCGGATATAAAGTTGAACTAGAAACAAGAATATTCACTGGGAACCGGTACACAACAGCTCAAATAAATCAGCCGTGAGCTAGTCACAATTTTCTTTATTTCAGGTTATAGATTCTGTAGAATGATTCGTGTTTCGAGATTTGCCATGAAAGTGGAAAAAACACTATACAGTGACAATTGTTTGGCATTGCTTAAAAAAAAACTAGGGAACGAAAAGAAATTCCCGCACCAAAGCAATACGTTAGAAAGCTCTTTATCGATGGTTTCCATTTAATATTTTCATTCTGAAACCGAAATTACTCACTTCAATGTATGCAGGTTTCAAAATCTCCTTTCCTGCAGTGTCTTTGGCAAAGGGGCAGCCACCCTTGAAGAGGCTTTGAGTTCCGTGCTCTACTTGTTTTTCCTTACTAAGAAAGACGACATCCTTCAAAAACTCGATCCATTGAGCTTCGCCTTTGGACTGGTCACGCATCTGACCCATCATGTCTTGAAGCTCACCCACGGTCTTGCATTGTTTGAAAGGGCAACCATTGTTGAAAGGAGGACATTTGGCACAGACGCCTTTCTTTTCTTGGGCAAGCTTGGCATATGGGCAGCCACCACCGCGAAATGCTGGGCAGTGCTTCGATATGTAATCTACGGTGACGTCTGACTTCTAAAAGGTTGAAAGAAAAACGGAAAACCAAGGCTCAACGAGGCGTTTCCTTATTTATGACGGCCGGAATCCAAAACATTTACCATTTGGGGCCATACATTTAGCACATAATAGCTGCTAGAACAATATAGTTGTGAGGTTAGCGAGAATACGATTGACTCAAACTGACTTACAAAGTCATGCTTGCAAAGCGACCGAGAACTGCGTTTGTGGCCCGAAAGAGACAGTTTTGAAGTTGTGCACACCATTTAGTGTCTCCTAATCTATTTCTTGAGTCCTCAACGATTTCAATATTTCTGTGGTGTCTCACATTTAAGTTACTGCATAGGTAAAAAAGGTTTTTTTGTTGTGGACTTTCCAAATTCGCTCAAGTACATTCATTTCCACATGGCTGACTGGGTTGGCATCTTGTGACTGTAGAGTATAGATTTTTCTTGGACTTTTCGATCAGCTCCCACTACAATTAAAATTTTAAGGCGGAGTGTGTTGCTCAAATACTACTTTAATCGCTCGAAATAGAAAGTTCTGAGTTTAACTGATTAAGCTCAGTTTTTTTCAACAGGCGGTTTATTCATTAAAATGAAAAACTAAAACGATCAACTATAGTAATTTCATCTTATAAATACGTTGTGTCTGTATTGCATAAGAGCAATAGATTACATAACCATGATTCCTTTTGGGCTTATGACTGAGCAAGACGAAGGACGAAACTGGCGACACATCGAGATATTGTTCATTGTCATAAAGACAACGTCTTGCTAGATAGAAACTGTGGGCTTGCAACGTTCTATGGCCACAATTTGAACGACCTTATCATTTTCTTAACTTGGGGCGTATCTTCTGTTTGTTTGCTTTTATGGTTTAATAGCGGAAATTATGAACTAAATTAACTTCATATGTACTAGGTTACTTCTGGAAAATCAATGGATTCCAATGAGGCCTGTGCCTTTGTCTTCTAGCTAGTTCCCCTGTATATATGTTTTTGATAGTTAAAGGTATGCAAAGGAAAGTTCTTATTTAATTTTTTAAGGTTATGTGGGCCGCGATGCCACTCAAACAGGTTGCAAAGACCAACCATGGCGTCAACAGCGTTGATTTGAAGAGACGAAAACGAAAAGTGGATTGTCAAGCCAATACAATACTAGTAACTTGATTTCTACATCGAATAAAATCAAGAAGAAGCACGACAATACAATCTACTATTTCTTGAGGCCTTGCGAGAGAACGGAATAGTTTAAGTTTTCCTCATTTTGCACTCCATCGTTTGAGATAAAATTTAATTCATTAAAGGGGAGAAAACATTGCTTTCATGAACTTAGCTTTTTTTCGCTTTTGTAAGTCATCCAAAGAGCTCATTCTCAATGTGATTACTACTTTTTTTCTATCCTACAAAGACCATGCAATGGATGACAGTAATAATAACATCATCATTTGTCACTCCCTTTTAGGATATTTAGCATCAGAAGTGACAAGCACTGGTAATATTTCCCCAGGATAAAAGTGTTTCGAAAAATGCAATATTCTAATTAGAAAAGATAGTATTTAGGGAGTGTCACACAGATTGAACCTCAAACGCTATAGCTCTAGATCCTTAACAAAAAAATTTGCGATAGTATCTGATCGAGCCCCTCGGCTGAACTCAGGACTGAGTCATATAGAGCTTTAAATTTCTTGCAGAAAGACTTTCTTGCAAAAGAATTCAAAGTCACGTAAGCTGTAGTAGTTCGCACTGTTACTGACTTGCTCAACTAATTATGCTGGGGTTGAGTGTATCAATTCAAAAGTAAAATCGAGGCAAATAACAATGGATAATTAACGCATCAAAACAGGTTATTCTGGATCAAACAGGTTTTCCCACACAGGGCGCAATGCATCATTCAGTTCAAAAAACGTGATAATGCCTGAGCAATTTTTTTACAACGCCTGTAAATTTGTTATCAAAGTTTCTGATTATTCTTTCCAATAAAAGGACCGTCCAAATTTTGGTTATGTAAAACTCTTTTTTGACAATCCAAATGATTGACTCATCATAAGAATAGATATATATTTGTCGACCATCATAAAAGGCACCACCAGCTTATCGATCTAATTCAGAAAGAACTTTTCAATGCGTCGCGATTCAGCTTTGTCGTTAAAATAAGTTTGGGAAAGACATTTAAATACACCTTTGAACTACAAAGGAAAAAATCTGCCTTTTCCGCATCACCTGATCTCGCTGTCCCTATATGTGACATTTAGACAACAAAGAAACAGTGTGCCATCGTCCCTCCATAATGATAATAATAGAAACGACGAAACATTTGACATAATTGGCTGTGATATATTGCTACTAAAGCTCTCGATGGGCGCTAATTTTCGTGTAAGGTTCAAAACTGTAGCTACACGCAGACAAGCATAGGTGGTCATGCGATCACAAATTCAAATTCTTTACTACTCAATCCAATAGAGTCATTATCTCAATTAACCTGAGTCTTTCTTCGTTGCTTTTTTTTCGCTTGTCCTTTTTGGCGCAATCATTTCAATATAAACTCCCTTTGGCAAATCCTGCTTACTACGAAACACGTACAATGTTGCAACCTTGAGTAGATGTTATACGCGGCTGGAACATAACTAACGCGACAAGTTACGAATCAACAGGCAGTTTATTCATTCAAATGAAAAACTTAAACGATCAACTATAGTGATTTCATCTCCTAAATACGCTGTGCCTGTGTTACATAAGAGCGATAGATTAAATAACAATATTCCTTTTATGCGAATGACTGAGCGAGACGAAAAACAAAACTGGCGACAAATCAAGATATTATTTTTTGTGATAAAGATAACGTCTTGCCAGACAGAAACTGTGGGCTTGCAACGTTCTATGGCTACAATTTGAACAACTCTATCATTTTCTTAACTTGAGGCATATCTTACATTCTACTTCTGATAGTTCTAATGTAATCAAGAACAAGAACGACACTTCAATCTACTGTTTCTTGAAGTCATGCGAGGGAACGGAATAGTTTAGGTTTTCCTCATTTCGCACTCCATCATTTGAGATAAAATTTGATTCAATAACGGGGAGAAAACATTGCTTTCATGAACTTAGCTTTCTCTTTTTCGCTTTTATTAGTGGTCTAAAGAGCTCATTCTCAATGTGATTACTGCTTTTTTTTCTATCCTACGAAAACCATGCAATGGACGACAGTAATAATAACATCATCATTCGTCACTCACTTTTAGGATACTTAGCATCAGAAGTGACATGCACTGGTTATATTTCCTCAGGATAAAAGAGTTTCAAAAACTACAATATTCTAATTAGAAAAGACAGTATTTAGGGAGAGTCACAAAGATTGAACTTCAAATGCTATAGCCTTAGCTCCTCAATAAAAATACTTGAGACAGTATTTAATCGAACCCCTTGGTTTAACTTCAGGACTGAGTCACTTACTAGCTTAGATGAAGCCATGTAGAGCTCGCAGGAAGACTTTCTTGCAAAAAGAATTCAAAGACTCGTAAGCTGTAGTAGTTCACACTGTTACTGACTTGCTCAACTGATTATGCTGGGCTTGGGTGTATCAATTAAAAAGCAAAAGCGAGGCAAATAACAATGGATGATTGACGCATCAAATCAGGTTATTCTCGATCAAACCGGTTTTCCCAACACAGGGTGCAGTGCATCATTCAGTTCAAAAAAAGTGAGAATACCTTACCTGTAAATTTGTCATCAAAGTTTCTGATTATTCGTATCAATAGAAGGACCGTCCAAATCTGGTCATTTTAAACTCTTTTTATGAGAAACCAAATGCTTGACTCATCATAAGAATAGATATGTAATTGTCGACTATCATAAAAGACACCACCAGCCTATCGATCTAATTCAGTAAGAACTTTTCAATGCGTCGCGATTCAGCTTTGCCATTACAAGCTAAAAAATAAGCTTAAAATAAGTTTGGGAAAGACATTTTAATACACCTTTGAACGGCACAGGAAAAACTCTGCCTTTTCCGCATCACCTGATCTCGCATTCCTGATCTTCGCATCATTTTTTTTCCCGAAACCGCGAAATGCGCTGAATTCGCAAGTCGGGAAGATTTTAAATAACCGCATACGAAACGAAATACCTCAAAGGCCCTTTCCATATGTGGTAATTAGACACCAAAGAAGCAGTGTGTCATTGTCCCTCGATAATGATGATGTTAGAAACGACGAAACATTTGACATAATTGGCTGTGATATATTGCTAATAAAGTTCTCAATGGACGTTTAACGTTTAACGTTTATAAAAGGTTCAAAACTGTAGCTATATGAAGACAAGCATTGGTGGTCATGCGGTCATAAATTCAATCCCAATAGAGTTATCTATAATTATCTCAATTACCAAGAGTCTTTTTTTTTTTTTTGGTTTGTCCTTTTTGGCGCAATCACTACAATATAGACTCCCTTAGGCAAATCCTGTTTACTACGAAACACGTACAATGTTGCAACCTTGAGTAGATGTTGTACGCGGCTGGAACATAACCAACGCGACAAGTTACGAATCAACAGGCAGTTTATTCATTCAAATGAAAAACTTAAACGATCAACTATAGTGATTTCATCTCCTAAATACGCTGTGCCTGTATTACATAAGAGCGATAGATTAAATAAATAATTGCAACCTTGAGTAGATGTTGTACGCGGCAGGAACACAACAGGCCAAAAGCGATATCTTTGCTTTCTTTAAACCTGCTGACTTCAGTCTTTAAGACTCCAGATCCCGAAAGCTCTTTGGAAAGTCTTAGGTATCCCAGAATATAACATGTGTTGCATATCTCAGACCATCAAAGGTCAGAATGAATTAAAGTTATTTTCAAAACAACACAAGAAGTCACGAACAACATATTAACCAATTCCAGGCTCACTTGTATACTGGAAAAACTAAATAGTTAAAAGTCTTCAACCAAGCATAACTTTAGTTAAGCTTGGTTAAGTTCTCTTTTTGCTGACGTGTTACGTTTCTCTTCTAACTTTTCGGTTTTAAAACCTGGTGATATAACTATTCATCACTGACATTGGATAACATTGAGCACATTGGAAGACCAAAGAAGGTTCTACAAGTGCGGTTTGAAAACTTGGCATTATAATTTACATCACTGACCACAACTGGCTGTTACGTGATATCCGCCAATATTTTTATTTAAAGGGTCACTGCTCATTGGCCTATCAGATGTTGCATCAGATGTCATAGAGATTTGGCAATCATGCGTGGTCTAAGGTCTAAGGCTCACTTGTATACTGGAAAAACTAAATAGTTAAAAGTCTTCAACCAAGCATAACTTTAGTTAAGCTTGGTTAAGTTCTCTTTTTGCTGACGTGTTACGTTTCTCTTCTTACTTTTCGGTTTTAAAACCTGGTGATATAACTATGCATCACTGACATTGGATAACATTGAGCACATTGGAAGACCAAAGAAGGTTCTACAAGTGCGGTTTGAAAACTTGGCATTATAATTTACATCACTGACCACAACTGGCTGTTACGTGATATCCGCCAATATTTTTATTTAAAGGGTCACTGCTCATTGGCCTATCAGATGTCGTAGAGATTTGGCAATCATGCGTGGTCCATTGTGCGGCCAAAATACTTCAGTGCCGTAGAGATGGCTCTATTCCAAGGCGAAGCTGATTTTCTCATTTTAATTTAAAGCGAAAAGTGTTGAAGTTGACCTTGCGGTATCTTTGCTTCCTGTAAACCCGCTAATTTCAGTCTTTTAAGACCATCAAAGGTCAGAACGAATAAAAATTACTCTTCAAAACAACACAAGAAGTCACGAACAACATATCCACCAATTCCACGCTCATCTGTATACTTAAAGCAAAATAGGCCCAAGCTCCAGCCGTGAGATGATCATCTTGTGAAATAAGAGTCATGGCGAAATTGTAAGAGTTTGTATAGGAATATTTACAACCGCTCTTAGGAATAAAAAAATGAGGTCAAATTTTCAATAAAAATACCTTACCTTACTTCCACAGTACATTAGTTGTTATCTGATCGCTTACTATGTTGAAAAGAACCCACTTTGGTTATTCATTTCTGGGTTTACTACGCACATAGGAGGCTCAAGGCTGCACACTCCATTTCCGAACGAGAAGCAAAAAATCTAAGCTCAAAACTGATGACTGGGCGGCCACAAATCCAACGAAAAATCCAAGCACATATACTTTAGTTTCATTTCAATTCACTACAAACTCAATCTTCACCGTGAAACGGACGCTACGCCGCAATTTGCTTAAAAATTTTCCAGCTTAGACTTTTCTAGCTGCCCGCGTACATATTCACCTTGACACACGACGAGGGTGAATGTGTACGCGGGAAGTTAGAAACGTCTAAACCGGAAATTTTTCAATCAAACTTCCCGTTACTGAATGTTTATTTTTCTGCGTTTGTGTTTTGTTTTCTATGGTGAATTCTATACGGAGAATGCGTAGCTGTGTTCGGTTCTGTTGCCATATCATTTTATTCCTTCGCACTATGTGCGGCGAAGGTTCCTCTCGGTCAGTGCTCTAGAGATTGGTTGCTGTAGAGAAATTCCCTCGGTAAACCAACAGCTAACTTTTGACGAAAGAATCAGCTTTATCACGAGGCACGATGAATTTTTACCGAGAAGTCATCAAGCAGTTTCACTGCAAGTTGCCCCTTTCCTCAAAGATTGCAAAGGCAGAGGCTATCGTCACGATCGTCGAGCCGGTCAAACCGAAAGGAAAACGAGTGAGTTTATAGCCATCTGATTCAACTTAATCTCAAATAGGGATTTTAAAAGAGAAAAAATTCTTAAGTTTAAGTGCAGCATTACTATATTATCCATTCCGCTCAAAGGAAATAACTGACATCAGTATTAAAATGAATATTTCGTAAGCATCGAATTTCGCACGGCACTCGGATTCGCTTCCATCTAATTTAATAAAATTCCTCCTCAATTATCTCGTTGCAATGCTGTTATCATAATGACATTGCTACTGTTGCTACTTTTAGTTTCTTGATGGTAGGGGGGGAATTGATGGCTCGTGGAATGGAGTTCCGGAAACCTAGGTTAGGAGAATACACGACCCCTTCGAACTTGTGCTTATGCCAGTATCCGCATGAGGTTTCGCACTGTTCACTCAACAGGATATCGGTCAGCCCAGGAAAGGGCTTGAAATTCATTACAAATGATGTAAGACTGTTGTTAAAATACGATGGAAACTACAATTGGTAGGATTTTCAAACGATACGATAAGAAAAGCGCAAATGTAGTCATGTGGAAAGACAAGAGGTATAAGTACACTTTAAGCGCGTGAAATAGACAACAATAAGGAGCTCACCATTCTTCCCTTGCGGAATGTCAGCCGAAAAGAATGTTGAACAATCGTGCACGGTGTGGGAACAGGCCCCTCAATCAGCATCTTTTTTTAGCTGAATTCATTGGTTATCTTCCCTTGATTTGACTAGTAGTATGTGTTCGTAACAGACGTCTTCGAAGCCGGTACGGAGAACAAGGCTAACGACATTGAAGAATAAAATCTCCTCGATGTCGACGATCGAAACGCGTCCATTTTGGTTATGCAGCTTCATCCTTTCGAAAGTAAGGTATAGAAATACCCGGTTTATGTGTATTACTCTTGTAGCTAACATCATTTGGCGCTTCGGCCACGCAACACGTTCGTCCCTTCTTCTAGTAGATTTCTCCTTTCACCACCATAATTGCCGACAGTTTTCTAAGTCACAGCTATGTAACATGATCGTATTGGGCGCGCGCTTAATTGAGACACTTTTAAGCCGCCAAATCGTACTTTCAATGCACAAAAAAATGGTCGAAGAGAACTGGTTAGGCGCAAAGGGCGACTATTTTTAATTTCAAATACAGCTATCGACTGGAAAATGCAAAAAAATTTTGTGCCATTGGCACTTAAAGTTCAGTTAAGTTTTCTTTTTGCTAACTTGATGCTTTTGGGTTTGACAACTTGGTAATATAACTTTGTACCATTGACATTAGATAACACTGAGAAATATTGGAAAACTAAAGAAGGTTTGACAACTTGACATTATAGTTCTCATCACTGACCGCAGCTTGGCTGTTACGTGATACCTGCCAATATTGTTATTAAGTCAAAGGATCACTGCTCAATTGCGTATCGGATGTTGAAATCACGCGTGTTGTAGAGTCTGAATCGGTGTAACAATTCCTTGCCCATCTACGGAGTAACGGATGGGTTGTCGATTTTGGCGGGCTTCTCAACAGGGCCTGAAGAGGAGCTGCACTGAAGCACAGATCTGGCTCACGGATAGCTGCAAAAAATAAGTTTTACTCGACAATGAACGACCAAAATACCTTAGTGCCGTAGAGATGGCTCTATTACAAGGCGAAGTTAATTTTCCCATTAAAAATTTTAAAAAATGTGTTTAACTTGACCTTGTTTGACAAAAATAGCATAGTCGGCCATTGACATTTGATTTGGTTAAACCTCGGAAGTTTCAACAAAGGTTTTATAAGGATACAAAGTAAACAACTTTCAGATACGCCGACGTCCCCCAATTCGGCCGGTAGGCACTGTCAAGGAGTTTTGAATCTCAA